CACACGGGACCTCAAGGTGCTAGTGAGCAGGGAGCCAAGAGCAGGGGAACTTGGCAGAAAGGGGTCATGCTGCCTGTGGCCAAAATCAGACTCCAAGAGAGGGCACCAGCCAGTACATCAAGAGGGAAAGGGAAACCTTGGCTGGCCCACGGAGGAGACCCATCAAGCTCTTGCTCCTTTGCCTGTCCTTTGGTGGGAGCTTCATTGTCAGTATTCAAGAGACTGGCAGCTTGGGACTGTGCCCCTAGGGAGTTCAAGTCCCTGGTCCCAGTCCTTTCCCCGTTGCTAGCTCTGGGGACACCTCTACCCCTTACTCTTATGTCCAACCCAGCTAGCATTTCCACGAGTACCCACAGCAATGATGGGTCCTTCAGACATAAATGAGAAGCCCTGCCTGGAACCAGCTCTTCTGCCCTTGAACTGAATGAGGTATACTGGGGATGGGAAACAGGGTGGACAGATGGGGATCACATGGGCAAGGAGCTCAGAAGCTCAGGCCAGGTTCTTGAGATCCAGCAGTGGTGGGGGTGGGGGTGTCTGCCCAACCCTTCCATGCTTTCATTGTCAGGGAGACACAGGGGAAGCCCAAGAGGCACAGCCTCCCACCTGGACACAGCAATACTGCCCAAACCCTGCACAGACCTGTGGCCAGTCTGGCCCTGGCAGTGGGGCATGGAGCTGTGAGCAAGACCATGTTCCTGAGGCCATGCTTAGCAAGGGCATGGCAGATCATTGGAGGAGGGGCTGAGTGGCCTTTACCCAGGGTAGGGTGGGGTGGGGTGGGGTGGTGGTGCTGCGGGATAAGCTGGGGCTCTCCCTGTGCTGGCCTGACTTCTTCCTGCAGGCCTCCCAGTTCCAAACCACGTTAAGGTTGCACTGTGCCAAGTTCTTCAACACCTTCTTGTCCCTAAGTATCTCACACCCACCTGGGGCGCTCCTTGGGTCATCAACAGCCTGCCTATGTTGACCACAGCCCCAGCTTTCAGATACAGTAAGTGCAGTTTGGCAGGTATGAGCATCCAGAAGACTGGGCTGGTGGCAGCCACCAGAAGGGCTGCCTCTTAGTCTGCCCCACCTGCACCTTCCACCAGAGCCACAAGGAGGTTGGAGACTTCCAATTTGTGGCACATGCAGACCTGCAATGGTGCTACTCTGAGTACCTAAGACAGACTCAGGCTGCACCTGCCCTTCTGTTGGGATATGCTGAAGCTGGAAATTGAACATATGTGGGAGGGCAGGATGAGGCCTCATTACCTAAAGCAGTCAAGCTATCTCAGTATTGAGAAAAACATCCTGCCTGAACACTGTGGGTGGTAAGTCACTAGGCAACATTGTGTATTGTAACTTTGCAAAAGTATAGACAAATACCCCTGCTGTTGTTTGGGGGTCATTTTACCAACCAGGCAGATAGGCTACCACCTGACCCAGCTCATCTTTTTGCCTATCTTTTCTTCATTTCTGTTGCCATTTCTCCCCAGGGTACAACAGATCATACCAAGAGATCAACAGATCCCTGCACCTCTCATTGTCAAGCCCGTCTACCACCCCCTCATCTAGACCCTAAGACTGGCAAATGAAAGGCCTGGCCTAGGTGGTACCACAGCCTGAGGAGGGTGGGGTGCATGTAGAAGGGACGTCACTGGTTGGTTGAGCCTGGTGTGGCTCCAGGTAAGTGATGGAAAAACAGACGCCTGGGTTCTGGAGCTCATCCCATAGCCAACTTGAAGGTGACATTCTTGGTCCTGATTGAACAGATGCTCAGAGAGGTGAAGGGATGGATGAACCACCTGCCCCCAGGGAAGAAGATGCAGGGAGATCCCACAAGTCTGGGGGTTCCCTGACCTTCACTGAGCTTTTCCCTCAGAGCCTTCACCCTGACTTGGAACAGGCCAAATGGTCAGTGGCCTGCCAGCTGTGACCCCAGGGTGCCTACCCCTGGCAGTTTTCTCACCTGGCAACTGAAGGAGTCAGCTGGTTAGTTTTTAAGCCCTGATCTCCAGGGCCCAGCTACCTCCTCTACTTTGGGATAATTTCTGTGTGTGCCACTCTAAGGCCCTGGTCTCTCTCCTAGGATAAGTGTGAAGGCCTTGCTCTAGCCCTACCTTTCCTGGGGAGGAGCCTTGGATCTAGAGGAGAACCCCTTCCCCAGCCAGAGTGAAAGCAGGGTGTGGAGAAGAGAAAGGGAGCTGGCTGAATAGTGATAGCCATCATCCTGCATCCAGGAGTTTCCAACACAACCATAAAAACGCAAATGGAATTAATTAATTAAAAAGAAAGAGGGACAGCCATTGCAAGGCTGGGGAGATGGCTCAGTAGAATAAGCATTTGCCTATAAGCACAAGGGCCTGAGTTCAGTCCCCTGTTCTGACAAAAAAAAAAAAAAAAATACATAAAA